GAAATAAAACAACGTCTATTTACAGGCTGCGGTAAGCTTAAATATAACTAGGAAATAAGAATTCGGTATCCACACACTTGAGAGAATTGGAGTTGCATTAATCTCCCGATCTTACCCAGATATCTTGTTGACGTAGCCGAAGGCGAGATCTGGTCAAGTAAGACAATTCGATTATTTTTCATTGGCTACTGCCTAGATTGAAGGTAATGACGTGAGTGTTGTCATATGCGTGTTTTCGCTGAAAATGTAGTTCTGTCTCAGTGTGGACTGTAAAATCCGTTTTATGCTACCATAAAAGACCTTTTAAAATTCCCTCTCGATGTTGAGATAAAGACTTTTTAGAAGGTTATGGTAAAAAAAAATTGTCGGCGTGTTGCGCGTGTAGAAATGAACGCGTAGTGCTTTGAGCTTTGAGCGCGCGCTATGATAATTAAATTAAGGTAACTGCTGCGTTGAATTTGATGTTATAAAACAACACTAACAACAACAACAAATATATTAGATTATACTTGAGCTCTGCAGTATCGAGAAAATTTCACTGCTTTATTAAATTCGTCGTTTAACACGGCCGCCATTTTGAGAATTAATTTCAAGCATGCGCTCTAACATCGCCTTTCACATTTCTGACAGGCGATCACATTGACCAGATCTCACCTTCGGCTTCGTTGACAAGAGATCTGGGTTTGAGATTAGAGCTGAGTTTTCCAGTGATTCAACTAAAAACAACAACAAAACCAAAAAAAGTTTTATCTTGCTCTTTTCATCTGCAGTCAGTCAATGCGACTCCAAGAGTTCACCTTCGATAAGTTTTCTCCACGTAGGTCCATCGTTGGCACTGCCCTGCCAAAATGTTGTCGTCATCATGCCTCTCCGTTTCAAATTTCTCTTAGCAACGTCTTTGAACCTCAATAACAAAGGCCTTCTTTGATTACTCATTCGTACACAGAGCTGATAGTGTAACAGCTACTTTGGTGGTCTGTTATTATCCATCCTATGCACGTGACCCAGCCATCTAAGAATGAGAGTGTCGTCCTCCAGGCAAGACAGAGAATTTCCACATTCTTTCCAGGATACGTTGCTTATCATCGTATCAAGCTTGGAGCTTCTCTTTACTTGGGACCGATATATAGTTATGATTCAACACAATACAGGAGGGAAAAAAGAACAGCTCGGTAGACCTTTAGCTTACACTTAACTTTAATAGACACGTACCGGTTTTTCGGTAGCCTGCAGTGGCGGATCTAGGGAAGGGGCCCTGGGGGCACGGGTCCCCTTTATTCTTAGAGGCGCGAAGGGCCGAAAAAGTTTTTTTGAGACCCCGCCCCCACCCCCCCTTATCTGAAGGTCTGTATCCGCCACTGGCCTGTTCTATAGTTTTCCAACACAGCACTTGCATTTCCCATTCTGTATCTGAGTTCACTGACAAGGATAGCGTTGATAGAGATAATCGGCTTCCTAAGCTGTATTTGTGATCAAACAACAATCAGTTTTCATGATGTTGATCCTGAGTATTAATTGTGAGGCATTGGTAGGCTCTTTTAGTTAGACGCTCCACATCCAACCACAGAAAATAGAATCTATTTGAATCTTCACATTTTTGGATATTAGTTCGTTGAGAAGGTCAAGCAGCACTATGTTAAAATGGTAACGCTACGGTGAAACCCAAAAAATCACATCGTAAAATAGGGTGAACTGATGTTCATTGTGAACAAAAAGCTAATAATAACCTATAACTGTTTTTAACACACAGTGCAAATGCTACGGCAACCAGCAGACTGGTATTCAGTCTAGAGATGTTTCATGTACCAAGACGCCATGTCACTTTATCCGTGCTCCGCGGCGCCATCAAGCTTGTCAGTGCTTTAAAGGGCGGGAAAGCGACTAAGCCAGTCGCCATGGATAGAGATGCAGGAGAAGCCTAATGCTGCCTTTTACAGACTGTGGTGTAACGTCAGTGGTCTCACTAAAATATTTGCTTGCGTTTAATCATACAGCATATTAATTAGAACATCTTATTGTGAAGTCGTTTTTGAAGGATTAAAAGAAGAATGGAAAGGTAAACTTGTTTTACGTAAACGTAACAAGGCCACCCTTAAAAGAAGAGTCGAAGACGTCTTATATAACAAGCACAAGCTGCAATGTTCGTCATCGAATCATCGAAGGCTTTTCGTTCAGCTAATTTGTTCTTGATTTCCATGATACCATGTTCCCACCAATAACATAGCTCCAACCTCCCGTATGTAAACCACACACGACCCACAATCCAACCTCCATCTCCTTACCATGGCCAATCCTACCCTATCAATTCAGAAGATAAAACCAAATCTTTTTATTTCACTTCCTCAGCCACGTAACACCAAGTTCTTTCACCCTCATTCAGTGTTTTTGTTCTGTTAGTAGGCTGAACTGGAAGTGGCTTAACGGACCCTTGACGCAGTTTTTTAAAACACCAGCTAAACTGGGTTATAAAAACCGATCCTTATGCCCCACTCACACCAAGTGAAAATGTATAATCAATGCAAGCTTAGCCTCCCACGCGGGCGTTTATTAGGGATGAAAAACGAGCTACCCTTAAAACGCCTGCGTGGGAGGCTAATGCAAGCTAGGTTAAAAAAATAGAAACAATAATAACGGAAAACTAAAACACAGGATTTTACACAGAATTTAAAAAAAAAAAAATCAAATTTAACACTTCAAGTAATTGCCCCAAATTTCCCATCATAAAAAGTACAGCGATCAGCTTTTACAAAGAACACAATGTTAAACCGAGTTTGACTAAACAGCTTTCAAGACGTTGTAGCTTTGGTGTGAATAGGGCTGTAGTGTTACAAGGTGTCATAGTGACATTACACATCTTGAAATCCTTGTGGGAGGGGGGAGAGGGGAGGGAGGAGGGGTGGTTCATAAAAACCCAATACCTCATTGTCGTCCAATTGAAAGAAGAAAAATCAATATTTTACGTTTTAAGGATTTATTTTTATTTTATGATAAAAGTACATACTTCTGAAATCGTTCTTACTTACAATCAAAAAATCAATTTCGGTATCATATATAATTATCAGCATCATAATTATCAGAAACTATGAAGCCTTTACCTTATCTTGTGACTTAGCAACAGCTATTAAAACTTGGCCAGTAACGTAGGAGTAGGTACCTTGTCTACCCTCAAACCATAAGTATTTTACAAAATCTATTAAAAAATTAAAGATTATAGTGTGTCGACCTATTTTTCATCACTGTGGGTTTCCGATTCAGAACAAAAGTATTATAAAACTGTTACGTTAAAAAATAACTGTAAGTACATCAAAACTGTTTCATCATAAAAATATACATTATTCTATCACGAAAAAGAAGGTAGAGGCCTGACTTCTAGCAATTCACCATACCACGCCGGAAACTAATTCATTAATGATAAATGCAGGCCTAGGTCGTCAGGGAATGTAACTGAAACCAGATTTTGTGGCCCTGGTAATATAATATGTTTATGGACTGAAAAATCCAAAAAAACCCAAAACGAGTCATTCTCTAAACTACCATAGATAATAGAGACTTCACTTGTATCAGGCGGAAGTTTCCCTCTTCAATTCTCCGCACTTTAATAAATCTTATTTGAGCTGTTCAAGACGTGAAATCCTCATTGAACACAAACTACAGGGTAAGGAGGGTCGCGTATGTTGTACTGTACCAAATCATACCGTCTGATAAGACGAAATTTTTTATTTTCCCTACAGGCTAATTTGTCAAGAGGAAAATAACATACAAAACACACCAACTTAAGTTTTAAGCCAGTGGCAGAGCGATCGATTTTCGTTTGGCCTTGAAATAATTTTTTACGGAGAAACTAAAACAACAAACGAACAAGAATATGAGAATTTGATTGATCTATGGAACAGTCAGACAAACGCGCCCTGTTTCGATTGAAATCATTTGCCATCTTTTACTAAACAATATAGTTCACTCGTACTCGACGACTTGGCCTGTACTTATAAACAAAACTCAAGTTGAGTCAAGCGCATGGTTTTTCAAGATTGGAAAAAAAGAAACCGGGTTATGAACGTTTCTTTTTAACAGCTATCTTCTTTCTTGTTTCTTTCTGACTAACTTAATTGTTTTCAATTTAAGTGCAGTCGAACTGACTCCACACCACGTATTTCTTTACAAAACAAGGCCAGTTTCCTGCTTTAAGATTTTTTTAGTTTGCAGAATTTTACGCTAAACAATCTAGCTATCTACAAATCAATATTTAGAGAAAAACATGTTATACGTTGGCAACAATTACGTATAATGAAAATTCCATTTCACTTTAAAGCCTGACGGCTTAAAATGCAAAAATATTCAATTTTTTCGAGTAACTAAACTTAATTAAATGTAAAGATGGCTTTGCTTCCATTACTATAATATCATCTCGGGTTGCAGCTATATCAGTTTAATAAAGTTGTGTATCAAAAAAACATTGCTAACACTTACCTGTAATAGTTCAGGTTAAGCGTGAAGCATGCAGACGGTAACTATAACATGATAACGTCCTTTTGTGCTACACTGACTTTATACAAAAAAAAACTAATTATTATTGGTACTACATCTTTGTAGTATAAAAAAATACCAAAGAAAATTATAGCATTTTTTAGCATCTTATTTCTCTTTTTTTTTCTTCTTTTTTCTCTTTTGGATTGTAGGCGAAAATATTTATTTCAACACTTGTCTAATGACGATCACTTATAAATAAACTAAGAGTTAATTTTCAGATCTGTATACAATTAACGAAACCGACAGATGCACTTGCAACACTGCTCTCCGTGCTTTGCCGGACGTGCACAAAACTAGGAAGCTAAAAGAACGATACCGGTCGTGGGATCAATCGACAGTATACCTTTGAAAGTTGTTCCTACATACTTAACTTTTGTTTTCGGTCTTACGGTGTAGTCTTAATGACTGCCTCGAGGATCAACTGAACTGAACATGTACTTGAAGCAAAATAATAACAAAGAGATTATCATAATTTATAGTAAGTCGGCTGATCCTGGAAGTCCGCTCATGACGAGTCTGTCGTAAAGTTCCCCAACCATCAAATGGCGGTGTTTCGCAATAAGATCAAGAACAACGTCGCACGGGTTGGTGGTTCTCTTATCAAGAAAGCGGATTTCGTTGTAAGACATACCAAAGCTCTCTGCAAGCTGTTTCCATTCTTCTCCACCTAGCAAACAAAAGTGATTTAAAAGTTTCAGATTCCGTTTTATTGGAAAGTTTATAGAAACAGTAGCGCTTAATAGGAGAAACCTACTATCTAGAACACTGAATGATATTTTTGTGTGACGTCAGATGCGTTCTTCAAGACAACTGGCTTTTTCTTTGAAGTATGAGGTATGATTTTAATTTTAAACTTGTTGAACACTAAGTTTAAAATAATTTTTATGAGGATGACATATAATATTGCAATGGGGTGCTTAAGTAACCAAGACTACGATGGCAGCGAAATAAGTGTGACTTAATGTGGCTCGATGGGTAGTATTGCTATTAATACATGTAATTAATAGCGAACAGTCATTGGCCAGAATTGATCATGTGACCTCTACATGTGCTTTAGTTGTTGGACAATCTCCTAGCGTTAGGCCTTGACAAAAGTCGCTCCGTGATCTCTGTCATTCGCCAGATCACTCTCCGTCCAAAATCGATCCAGGAGCCTCTTCCTTACTCCAGGCAACTCTGTTTATCGTCAGTCACCTTAAAGAAACCAAACGTCCTTTATTCAGCCACCGGCTTTTATTGAAAGAACTCCAGCTCATTTGTGGCGACTCTTGGTGTGTCATCTTTCCACGCTTCCTCAATTGAGTATCCTCAACCATGGCAGCTTGCAAGCCTGAAAGATCAGTCAAACAACCACTCAATCCAGATTTTGTGTGTGACTTTCCTACTATGGTTTTTCCTACTGATTTTGATCCAAATGCGACTCCCTCGGCGGCCGCTCAGTCGGCTGCACAGGTCCCAGCGACAACGCCAGCTTTGACGGGCGCTGTGGCAAAGAAGAAATCTACAAAATCCGCCAACATTCAAGACCAACTGGAGCTGGAGCGGTTAAAACAGCAAAAACCTCAACTGGAGTTAAAGCTTCTTTCACAGAAAGAAAAACTCGGCGCAGAAGCACTCCAAACAACACAAGTCAAAATGTCAGCTGATGCACGTGGTCAACTTATGCACGACCAGTCGCAAGAAAAAATCCTTGCGTCGCTTATGAATGAACTGACCCCACCGTCGCGAGAGGAGCAGATTCAGCTAGCAAATCCCACCTTTCCGGTTCTGCAGCAGCTCAAAGCAAGTGCTAAAGGGCACACTGTTTTCTCCGCAAAAGGTACGTTGGATTATGATAAAATTGACATTTCAGAATTTGTGTTTGCCTTTCTTGAGTTTGTTCAACAACAGCAGCAATCACAACACCAACATCTGCTTCAGTTTCTCCAGTTGCTTATGGAAAAAGCTATGAACTACTCCTGGCCGAGTGTTCGAAATTTTAATTTGTCTATTAACCAAGCGTTGGCACAAGGTAGGCTTACCTGGGGTCAAATGGATGTCATTCAAGCTCGATCGAATACTTTCTTTAGTCATGCTGATCTTCGTTCCAGTCAGAATACAGGCTCCAAGTTTTCAGGTCCACGCCAGCAACGCGACCCCCCTCGGCGAGAGCAGAAAGATATGTATTGTACTGACTGGAATTATACCGCCAAATGCTCTTGTAACATCACTGACCCGGAGTACAAGAACACGCATCACTGCAGAGTATGTGATTCTGATCAGCATCCCATGCTCCATTGTGCTAAACGGAGATATCCTATTCCAACTAACAAATCTGCTCAGCAAAAGCCACAATGACTAGTTGAAAACATTGACATTATCGAAACGGTCTTGCGTTCAGGCGACTACAATTTTGCTCTTGCACAAGTGCCCATTAAAACCTCGTTCAATATTGACAACTGGATCACATACCTGCATGATTATGATGATTTTATTATAGTCCAATACTTGCGTTATGGTTGGCCAATTAATTATCAGTCAAATGTGTTGCCACAGTCTACTTTGAATAACCACTCCTCTGCCATCAAAAACAATTTGTGTCTGATGGATTATCTCGTTGAGGAACTTGCTCATGGAGCAATTATTGGTCCATTTTCGTGCAATCCATTTTCCTGTCCATGTGTTGTGTCGCCGTTACAAACAGTGCCAAAACGGGACAGTTCAAAGTTACGGGTGCTTCATGACTTAAGCTTCCCTGAGAGTGCATCAGTTAATTCCGGAATACCAAAGGATAATTATTTAAATCATGAATACAAGTTAACACTTCCAGGTGTTGATAGACTTACTCACTTCATTCGATTACGTGGACGTCATTGTCATATCTACAAGAAAGACCTTGCCCGGGCCTTCCAACAAATGCCCCTGGATCCCAAGGATGTTCCTTTTCTTGGTTTTGTTGTGAACAAGCAACTATATTTTCACACACGCTTTCCTTTTGGACTTCGCTCGGCCACTATGGTATGCCAGCGAGTAACAAAAGCAGTGATTCATATATTAACTACAGAGGGTTATCTTGCTGATGTCTACATTGATGACTTTTATGGCGTTGAGTTAGCAGAGTTAGCAGGTGTAGCATTCAAAAGGATGACTGAATTGTTTGATGAACTGGGCTTGGAAGCCTCCCCCGCCAAAGATCAATTGCCGAACACACAAATGCTTGTGCTTGGAATTTGGTTCAATACGGATGACATGACTGTATCGGTTCCTGAGTTTCGATTATTGGAATTGCGAGCTGAACTTTCTCATTGGCTTGAACTGGAGCAAGCCACTAAACATCAATTGCAAGTCCTCATTGGTAAATTGAGTTACGTGTGCAGTTGTGTGCGCCCTGGGCAGGCTTTTATGTCGTGTTTGTTGAATGAACTGCGCAGTTGTGATTCGCGTAGAAGAACTATTCCTGTGTCATATGAGCTCAAACTGGACTTACAGTGGTGGCTACATTTTCTAGACAAATACAATGGTGTCTCAGTGATAGGTACAGAGTTTCTAGAATCCAGCGAACAGTTATTTTCCACCAATGCTAGCCTGACAGGATGTGGAGCCATCTGTGAAGGAGAATATTTCCATGAACTCTTCCCGCCAATTATTACTCAGCAGCAGTTATCCATTACGCAGTTGGAACTTCTCACAGTGGTTGTGGCAGTCAAGCTATGGCAATTAAAGTTAAAAGGCAGATGCATAATGATTCACTGTGACAACCAGGCATGCGTTGAAATGATAAACTCTATGCGTAGCAGGCACATTTTCTTACAAGCTTGTTTACGGGAATTATGGCTGACATTAGCAGTTAACAACATCATGCTCAAGGCTGTGCACATTCCTGGACATGAAAACACATTAGCAGATTGCCTTAGTAGGTGGCATACAGCTGCCATCTACCAATCATGATTCCATGCCTTAACAGTTTCCCTTGAGTTGCAGCCAGTTACAGTTAACCCTCTGCTGTTTTCCTTTACCTGCACTTAACCTGCTGGCGTTTAATATTGGTATTTATTACATACTTTGCAGAATTCCTGGTCCATTACCTTGGTCTGCTCAAGAAATCAGCACTTAGTGAAGGAACAATGCGTACCCGCAGAACACAACTTAGAGCCTATTTCTTATTTTGTAAAACTTATGACCTACCAGCCTTTCCAGTAACTGAGCAGGTCTATTGGCTCTATTTAGCCTTTCTTGTAGGTTATTTTTCTTCATATAATTCTGTTAACAATTATCTCAGTTGCCTTAAGCAAGTTAATCTATACTTAGGAGCTGATGTCACCTTTTTTGCATCATCACAGATTAATTTTCTCAAACAGGCTGCCAAACGTGTGCTAGCCAAACCAGTAGGGCGTAAATTACCTATTACTGTCGACATTTTGTTAGCCATTTTCAAGTTGTTGGATTTTCGTCACCCCTTGCATGTTTGCATGTGGACAATTTTTCATGTTGCATTTTTCTCATTGTTGCGTAAATCTAATTTAGTTCCTACCACAATAGCCGATGTTACCAGTGCTTCAGCTACTCACTTAATAATTAGTGATGTTAGCTTTCATCAAGACCACTGTACACTCCATGTACACAAAACCAAAACTATTCAGTTTAGGCAGAGGGCCCTTGAAATTGTTCTGCCATTCATCCCTCACTCAGTGTTATGTCCTGTTTCCGCATTGAAACGTCATCTTCGCTATGTCCCCGCGGACACCGAGGCACCTTTATTTACTATTCATACCTCAACAGGATTCAAGCCTGTTACAGGGTATCATTTTGCTAAATTCCTTAAGTCTTGCATAGTTAGTCTTGGGTTGGATCCCACACAATATTCTCCCCACAGCTTCCGAAGGGGAGGTGCTACTTTTGCCTTTCATGCTGGTGCTTCACCCTTGTTCATTAAATTCTTAGGGGATTGGTCATCAGATGCTTATATGGTTTATTTAGTTCTCAACACCACTCAAAAACTCAATGTTGCTAAAACCTTAGCTCAGCACATCCCTACAACTCATGATTCGGTCACTACCACTTAGCTTTCACTACTTCCTCATTACTTCACATCTTGGGTTTTGGGGTCTGTCTTTTGTCAGATTTCTTGTTTGTCATTTTGCCAATAAACTTGTTGAACCCATCTTGGTGTGACAGTAATTGGGTAGTATTAATTTATGTTAATACATGTAATTAATGGCGAACAGTCATTGGCCAGAATTGATCATGTGACCTCTACATGTGCTTTAGTTGTTGGACAATCTCCTAGCGTTAGGCCTTGACAACCCACCCTTTCCACTCTTAGGGTCTGTCTTTTGTCAGATTTCTTGTTTGTCATTTTGCCAATAAACTTGTTGAACCCATCTTGGTGTGACAGTAATTAGGGTTTTTCAGGATCAAACCCTCCCAAGTTTGAACATAAACTACGTCACCATTAACCGACAGATTTGGAAAAATTACCACTACAGCTGTACTAGATAAAGATGAAAATTTGTTCTGATCATGGTTACAATGGCAACGAAATGACGCCATGAATTTCTCGGCACTGGGAACTGTCCTTCCAAAATCGTTCACGAGAGCTTTTTCCTTCAATAGCCGCCCCGAAGTTTTTGAAGTTTCAGCGCAATCGGTAAGTGCGGTATGGAGATATCGAGATATATTGGAATGGTTAGAAATACGGGTAAAAACTGGACAATATTGATGTTTGGCCGTTATCTGTAGAAAGCGAAGAGTTTTGAAATGCAATTTCACCTCATAGTAGTTTCAGTCTCTTTAAAAACGCGTGTGAAAGATCAAGGAGATAGCTCAAGGCGATTGCTAGAAAGGATGCTTTGATTAGTATGTATCGAGGAGCTCTAGTTAGCGGTTTTGTAAACATTTTGGTCAACTTTAACAAATAAGCGAATAATTTTTAAACCACTCTATAGATGCTTTTAAAATTTAAGATTTTCGAGATTAACCGTCGTTTATATGACCTTTGAGTTTCAAGATTATTGATATATTGTAAGGCAGTAAATTAATTAAGGGCTACAATTCGCTAAAAGTTTGCCAGAAATTTCGTGTTACAAGTGAAAGCCTCTCATTTTTCATGGGTATTGTCTCCAAGTTTTATCTTTTCGTGGACAACAACAGCTAACATTTCTGCATATTTCAAATGCATCGTTAGTTACTGCTTTTCACCAGCCACCTCAAAATGAATAGAGAGAAGTTGTTACGTCACGTTGCCATGGTAGACGAATTTCTGGATCTCAGGAAAACCCTGGTCCTGCATCTTTTTTCGCTCAGCTAATGAGCCGAAATCGATTAATGTTGAGTTGTTTGAATATTCTGACGGTGTTATAAGAGGATCTGATCGTGGGCGAAAGGAGCCAAAAGATAGCCGGTGTCGCTACAGCCTCTCAGTGAATGCAAAAGAGCGAAAAAGGCTCTCGAAAAAGTTCAACGACTCCCATTTTGCAATTAATTTCTTAAGGAATCTAAAGACGTTTAAAATGATAATGGAAAATTTGTCATGGCATGTTTTGTTCCATCAGAAAATGTCGGCTTTGAAAGTTTCCCGTCGTGGTCGCACATTCGTAACCTTCAGTAGATAATTTTTTTTTCAGCCTGTTTTTTGTCGTAACTTCATAAGTTGCGCCTTTAACTGCGATGGTCTTTCATGCAGTTAGTTTTCTAACCATAATTTAGTTAATTTAGATGGGAAAACCTAAATAAAATTTTTGTTGTTGTTGTTGTTGTATTGAATATAATTTACTGTCAAACTCAGAAAACCGTGAAAACCTGAAAAATTTCAGGAATGTTGATTGTGTACTGGCCAATCACAATAAAGTTCAGGATACGCAAGCAAACCTCAAAACCACAAACTAATTACCGTTACTGTTTACGTTTTAGTTATCTCGCACCTTATTGGCTAATTTCTCGCAACACAATAACATTCCATAAATATTTCTGGTGTTCAGGGTTTTGTGAGTTTCACAGTAATGTCTGGAACTAGTAAATAATCTTTTCACGTGATATTGACAATATTGTAGAGACATAATTTTGGCATTTTTTGGGGACACAGGTGAGAAGCTCTCAGGAAATAAATAAAACTTACCACAAAGACTAAATGTTAGTTCCTTTCTCATCTTAAAGGGAATACAAAGCACATCGAGGTTCTCGTTCAATAAAGGACCTGGTTACCAAACAACATAGTGTGAATGAAACAAACTACCATAACTGTACATACAAATCTCTGTATATACTTCTACATCTACAAAGTTCCAACATAAACTTTTTTTAAGGTCTAAAAGTGGCGAAAATGAGGTGGCTATTGTTGAAAAGAGAAGTGTTCTCTCGAGTTCTCTCCTGAAAGATGCGGGAAAAACTTCACTTACTACTTAGAAGTATCTTTCCTCGTGGTAATAAAAGAAAGAAGGACTTTTACATGGTGTTTTTGTTGTGGACGTACCTGTAGTACCGGCAGGTGCTATCGTCCTCAAGTACTCAATTACGTCGATTCTGTTTTGAGATTTAGCTTCATTAGCGAGATACCGAATCCATCTTTGCGTCCCACGCTCTGGATTTTCCAGTTCTGCTGGAGTTAACTGCAGATACTCTTGAAATTGAACTACAATTTCCTTGGGTTCTTTCGACTGAGTCTGAATACACTGAAGAACATCATGGGGAAGAGCAAGAGACTTCTCTATAAATTAAGTAAACATGTTACAATAGAAGGCTTCAAGTGACTGCAATAAATATTATGACTTTTAAAAAGTACAACTGATCTAAGTGTTCTTGCCTTCTTGGTAAGTTACATAGCTTCTCAGTTCTCCCACGTCACATCCAGATGCACCTTGCTGCTTGAGAAAAATACATAATCAACGAATTAAGAATATACAGTTTGGAAACCCTTAATTTTGTTGTTGCTTTAAAGTATATATATTTTTTCATTACAGTAAGTTGTATATTATTATAGATAATGATATCTTTTGTTAAAAGTGGTTAAATTCAAAGTGACAAGATCAGGTAATTTATGTACTCTGCATGCCCTTCCTGAAACAGCTTATGCTTAAATTTTGTATATTGAGGAAGTAGTAGTTGCTGTAGTTTTAGTAGTATTCGAGAAGAACACACTCGTGAATTGTATAAATTTACATGAGTAAGACAGATACGCACCTGATCCACTGGATTCCTGCTTTCTTCAGGGACTGTGAATGAAAACCAAGGTGCAAACATTTTGATGCGAATTCTGCAATCTGCACGAAAACCAGGTCGGTTGCAGTACTGACATTTCTGAAGCTCGGATTCAGACAACAAGTGAAGACACTCACAGCCACGGACATCATGAGTACGACAGCTGACAGCATTCCCCTGCGAACACACTGGACAGCAAACGCACATTTCGTATGTCATGTGTTTTAGCCAGCTAAACTCTCTCCGCATGCACTCGAGAATGAGTCTAAGTTGCCAATGAATTGCACGACTGGTGGCTAGATTAGAATAATCATCAATGAAATCCGCCTCCATTGCTCCACAAAAGTCGCCTCCATCGTGAAGGGCGATTTCAATAGAAGAGGAATGACACATAATGATAACAGACACCCCTTGATCAGGAAGGATGTGAAACCGAGCAAAATTACTGAACAGTTGGGGTTGTATCTGGCTCTTCCACTCCTGCTTGCACCACTGATAAAACTGGAGAACTAGTCGTGTGAACAGGCCTGGAGGCACTCGTCCTAAATCAAACCTCACAAAGAGTGAAGGGATTCTCACAGAGGAAAGGAGCTCAACGAGGTTGTGCGAAGGGGGCGACATCAGCATGGACGGCACCAGGTACTGTTTGTGTTCTCCGTCAGATGGCCAGGGGCAGAGCAAGCTGAATCTCTCCATTAACGCGATAAGGCTCCCACAGGTTTCTCCACTGTACATATCAATCAAAGATTTCCACTCGTGAACCAGGAGCCTTTCATCTAAGATTCCAGTCTCGTGCAGCTTGAGCCAAAACTGTTCAAGAATATACTCTGTCGGCTCATAACGTTTAACACTGATTACCTTCTTGAAGATATCAATGAGCCATTGGGGATCTAAGATCACCATGTTGTTCAATTCTGGTGTTTCATTAAAATGAATCAGAACCTTTTGATCATGCAGAAAATCAAGCATAGTCCGAAATTGCTCATCGTCGTCGATCGCACACTCATCTGTTGCAATTTGCTTTGCTTCATTAATGGGTATCCATTTGTACTGCTTTTCAAGTAAAGACCGGAGAATATGTTCAAACCTTAACCACTTCAATGGAACGGCCTCCTTCATCTGCGGAAGACTTTGGGCAACAGAAATTATTTCTTCCCTGAGGCGCGCTATCTCAGGACACTCGTTTTGGCTTCCTGATTTCGTGTTATCGACAACAAAAACGTCCTTAAACAAATGATTTCTGTAAGGCTTGTTTTTGAGAAGTCCATAGATGTCAAGCGCCAACTCTCTGGGATCCCTGTTCCTACAGTAGGGTTCATCGGCATGAGTACATACCAAAAACACTTTAGGTAATATTGTGGGTGAGGCAAGGGACACAGACATGTTCTGCCCATCAGCGTGTGGACCAACCAAAGAATAAACTGATGAAAGCCAAAAGTCAAGATTGTCTAAATTTGTCTTGTTGCAACAAATGTCTTCTTTGTTTTTGTACAGCCCTTTCCTCACAACAATGTTAGCTTTCTGGTACGGATCACAGCTTAGATCACAAGTTAAAATATATATGGCTCTCTCTGTCAGGAAGATTGGATGGGTAGCATAGTAAACGGACTGTCCACCAAAGTCCCAAATAATGGAGAATAGCTCGTCCTTTTCTTCATTCCTTTTCATATTTAGCAGAAGCTTTTTCACCAGCTCTGCTACACTTTCTGGGACTTCGTTTGCAAACGGAAGAGTGTATCTTTCTGAGCTTACTTCTGAGTACTTAAGTGATGCCTCAGGCTTACTTTTGCTTGGTTCCTTTAAAAGTTGTCTCTGAGATGTTTCTTTTTTCGCATGTACCTTTCCGACATCCTTTAATGCTCCAAAGACCGACCGTGCTATATGGTGCTCAAAGCAAGCCTCTGAAAAAGGTTCACTTTCTTCGTCGTTGTCACCTGTTCTCCAAATTTCCCTCGAAACCTTAAAGTATTCAGGATCAGTCTCTATTCCTTCAGTGCTCTGTTCCTTTGGATTGAACTTTTCTCCCTTCAGAGATTTCTTTAGACTGGTCTTCCCTGTCCGATCGTGCCCAATTATCATAACTGGTACTCTTTTAATAAACGCTTTCCCATCCAAAAGAGCTTTGTTGTAGGCTTCAATGGCCGCGGGACCTCGCGCTTGGATATCCAAAGGGGCTATAACAAGAAAGAGATATCAACTTCCTCAAAGCCAATACCATTGCAATTTTAAAAGCCATTTTTAAAGCAGTGCTAAATAGTGCCAACAAGAAACATGCACGGGCTGTTTTGGTTTTCTTTTCCCTGGCTGAATCATGCTGATGCAGTAGTCGGGCCTTGAAGCTCACAACAGCTAACAGAGGATTCTTTTGTAAACTAAACGAACTAGATAAACAATGCAGCCTAGCCCTGAAACAACAGAGCTACGTGTCATATAATGAATAAATGAATGACAAGAATTTCGAACAGCTTCAGTTTATGTCGTTTGGAAATAAAAAGTAGACAGACTGATTCGTCTGATTTATTGCATTGTTTTTCAAAGCAATTCCTCTTAATTTAAAAAGATTTTCCCTCAAGAATTCCACTGAATTAATTGACAATACGTTGTTTCAAAGGAGATGTAGCAACAATATTGAAGATTGTCCAATGAAATTTAGGATTTCATTGATGCTCAGTTACATAGAGGCCTGTTTTCGGATGATACTCTCCTTTATTACGGGTCTGGGGTGGGGGAGAGTTGTCCAAATGTCAGTTGTTAGTTCAAATTTGCGTTATTTGTCAGTTTCCAGTTAATTGAATGTTTTAGAATTAACTAACAACCTAAGTTCGTTTATGAATTGACTCCTTTTGAATCTCCCGCAGCAAAGAAAAGAGCACACTTAAGCTGTAGTTTCTCATAATGAGATACCGAACACTTTCGTTTTGCAATGAACAAAGTGAACACACGTTTGCCTGCTCATTTTTGTTAGTTTTCAGTATTTTCATTCGCCACTCTGATCATGTACCTTCCTTGCGAAGTACGCACGTAGTTTTGTCGTCCAGATCTGCTTACACTGGCATTTTGACCTTGTCCTTATTATAAGAGAGATCGGCGTCCGAGTCTGTCTCATATTCGTCTAATTATGTTGGACGTCGGACGTCACCAACGGCCAAGTAAAACAGTCACAGAACAATCATCCACAAAGGTGTCATCTATTTTATTTAGCTTCGCCTAACTAAAAAAATGCTTATGTACACAAAATTATTGGACAGGAAGACCAATCATCGTAGCCAATAAGAGTGAATCCCACGTTACAAAAATATTAATATATATATGTGTGAAAAGTATCGTTCAAGACAAGGTCTTTCTCTGGGGTGTGGGTGTCAAGCTACCTTAGCTAGGACAAACAAGCGATTGAACAGCGCAAAAGCTAGCAAACTCCTTGGCTTTGTGCGCCGAGCTTCTGGGTACATCCAAAGCACCCAAATGCGTCTCACACTCTCTCTTTCTATCGTCCGGTGCCACCTCGGCTACGCAACTTAAATATGGTCGCCACAGTCAATTGACTTACTAAAGCGAGTTGAGAATGCGCAGCGCCATGCAAGAAAGCTAATTTTGGAGATTTCCCTTCCGTTGCGATGTAACCTATAAGTCGCATTTCCGACTAACAAATTTGTTACCCGTCTCATACTGGCACGAATTTTTAGATCTGACCGACATCAGGTGGATGATCAACCTCCTTCCTCTACTACTTCGCCAGATCTTTTTGTACTGCTAAAATCTTTTTCCTCGTTAGTGCTGAAGTGCACTTTTGTTCATTGACATAAAGTGCTGGCGGCAGAAACCTTGCCTTGTCTTTGATGGTTTCCATATCGAAATAATAAGTCCCTCTCAGTGCCTGACAGGACGATACTTGGACCCTGGAAATTTTAGACTATACCAGACCTAGTTTTGTTACCTTAAACTAGACCAAACGCCTCTAAAACAACCGCTCCCTATTATACCCAGCATTTTTCTCAATTATATCCACCTGTCGATTATCTGTACCTCGAGTATCCGGACTTGTTTTTATGGTCCAAACGCCGTATGGGCTTAGACACGATAAAAACTCACCATCGCCTTTATTACTACATAGGCAAATTCGAGGACGTGGCCACTGTAAGGTCCATCAGAGATCTTACAGCTTTCGCTAGTTTGCTTATTCGGCAAACAAAACCCATAGCCAAAAGATTAATTTCAACTGATTTGAAGGTTACTTATGGGCCATCCACTGACGTGATCAATTAATCACAATCGCAAACATCTGCATTTAAATTGAATACAAATAATTAAAAAAATTGGTAGGCTCGCGGTAAACGATGGGAAGAGAGAAAAGGTGGGAGCCTCTCTTTGTATGTTTTCCCTTCCCATCGTCTCCCATGCACTTGCTTGCATTTTCCCTTTCCCAACCTCCCTACAACACAACGAGGCCTCTAAGGACGAGAGAGGCTATTTGACAGTTGTCAGTGAATATTTTAAGCCGTTTGTCAGTTGTTAGAAAACCCAATACAGACCGTCTTTATGGAGTGGTTAGCAACTTCATAGCCTACGTTACAAGCGGAGAAGCGAGGGTCGTATGCACAATTAAAAAGCGTTTCCTCCCCATTAACCGCAGGGCTTCGCAGCTCCTCCTTCAAAACTTTAATTTGCTCGCGCTAACGAACTCCAGGGGCACCGAACGAGAATCTAGTTAAAAACGTTTTAAACATAGCATTGTTCAACGTTCTTTAGTATTTAAACGGTAGATATAGGCATATTTTTATCCCCTAAGAATTTTTCATCTGTTCGGATTTCCTAGCTGAAAGTCTAGTGATCCGAAAATTATAGGAGGGATCAAAACTTACCTTTTCGAAAATTTTAGCCAAAAAAAAGGATCCCGAAAATTCTAGGTGACCTTTTTAGGGTAAAAATCCGTTAAAGATGGGCAATTATAACATTTTTTAGATGTTCGAAAATCCTAGGAGAGGCTAGCCTGCGAAGCGCAGACGTATTTCCCGTCGTCGCTTCTCTCCCTCCGAAACAAATTTTCGGAGGGAGAGAAGCGACGACCGGAAATACGTCTGCGCTTCGCAGGCTAAGGAGAGGCAGGCAAGCAAGAAGTTTTACAACAAATGTTCCGAAAATTCTATATCTCAAATAGTCTTCCGAAAAGATATTTTCCAAAAATTGACGTTGGGTACCCCTGGAACTCGCCGGCGGCTACGCAGGGTAACAAAGTTAGAGATGCATCCGCTTTGCAGAAAGAATCTAAACAACCTGAGTATGCTGATCAAAGAGATAGCAAATGTCATTCAATGCAGACAATTGTACAGAGCTTAGAATTTACAGATAAGCATAAAATAGAATATCAAATCGTAATAGGTGAGAAGCGACTGACAGGACAATTCAGCACCACAGATATTTGGGCGTCCACCTGAGCTTAAAACTGAATTGGAAAGAGCATGTGTGTAATATCGATGGTAATAAGCCATTCGATTTCTTGGGTTTATCAATATTAACTGAAGAATCAGCTGGTGTCAGTGGGAAATACCATTCAAAGAAGCTAAACTACATCCACATGCCTCATTCACGTGACGAACACTCTGCTGGAGAACATTGATAAAGGACTATTAACTGGCCTAATATTCCTTTTCCTTAGTAAGGCCTTCGGCCCTTTAGACCATAGCATCATGTTAAACGAGTTAACTTCATTCGGAATGAATTGCTCTGTTGTCCAGTGGCTTAGATCCTATTTAACCATGCGCATCCAAAGTGTGGGGGTGTTGTCTGAGACCCAGCCTATATCTTTATATCTATATCTTTATCGAGCTTTATGCTGATTATACTCTTAATTATTTTGCAAGAAGAGTCACTCAGTGAAATTCAAACTCAGTTAACTAGTGGCCTAACTGATGCCCTTAGCTGGCTTCACGAAAATAGTTAATCTTGAAAAAACTAAGATTATGCTTGTTGGTACTCATCAGAGGACCGCAGCGGCCATAGATCTAGTGATAGATATCAGTAATACGAGCTTAGATAGCGTTTGCAACTTCAAATAACTTGGGGTCCTCCTAGACCACACCCTATCGATCCAGGAAGGACCATGAACTAGAGTATAATTATTGGCAATAAGATCTCGACTAGATAAAGTATTCTTCCTCGAGCGCGCAAGATTCTTCCCAAATCTTGTCTAATGCTCTATAATACTATATTGTTCGACTACTGTTCGTCTGTCTTGGACAGTTGTGGGGTTGGGAGCAAATCTTATCTAGATAAGCTAAATAGACGTGCCACCTGTATTATTAAAGACCGATCTATAAGGGCTGACGAGGTAATGACGACACTTGGCTGGCCCAGCCCACAAGCGCGTGGACTCTATCTGTAGTGTGTCTTAGTCTATAAATGTCTCCATGGAGTAGCGCAATTGTACTTACTTTCGGAGTTTAGGCACGCGCACCAAGTTCATGGCTATAACACCAGAAGCCATGATTTGTTGCGTCCTCCTTTTGCGAAAACTGTTAAGTACCAAGGAAGCTTTTAACTAAACGAACACTCTACCGGGAAACATCAGACAAATAAAGACGCTCAGTGAATTTAAAATTAAGCTCAAACGCAATCTTAGACAATAATACCTGTACATGTTGCCTTGACAACTTTAATTGTCTAGTCTCTTTAATGTTATATTTTGTTTTGTTTGTGTCCGGGCATCCTTTAAAATTGCTCTGCTAAATCAGATGATCCTGAATAAATAATGATCTAAATAAATGAAATAAAAATAAACTAGCTACCAAAACAAACACTTATGTATACAGCTTATGAAGGAACAATGAAAGACTGGAACAGTCAAGCCGCAGATGTAATTGTCCAAGAGACACCAAGACCTTTTAAAAAGCTGTGAGCAGGAGCTACCAGAAAATGCCAATACTAAAGGTGGAGGAAGTTATCGTGTTTCGAGGATATCCTTCAGTACTAAGAAAGATGCCACAACTAAAGGAAAACCTCACTCAGAAATTCCAAACTATCTATAGGCTGCTTGCCGTTAAAAAAGAAAATCCTGCTAGCAGCGCTGCTGAGCAGAAAACAGG